ATAGATAGATAGATAGATAGATAGATAGATAGATAGATAGATAGATAGATAGATAGATAGATGATATGTAGATGTAGGTAGATAGATGATAGATACATGCATAGACAGATAGATAAATTGATTAATTGATTGATTGACAGATAGATTGATAAATAAATGATAGATAGATAGAAACTGTCCAACATAAGCAATATTAGATGAAAATTCTATAAAAATCCCTGTAGTTCTGTGGTTGCCCTATACCCACTGAGCACCAGCTGGGAAAAACTTATTTTCCGTTGGAAACTGTCAGTTGGAGATAGCTTCTCGGTTAGGGATATCAGCTCCTGTCCGTTCCTCACTCTCAGCACTAGGACCCCATCCGACTTGAATTTGAGCAGGTCCTGTGCATGATGCCACAGCCTCTGTGAGTTCATGCGTGCATCTATCCTGTTTTGTTGGGAAAAGGTCATGACAAAATGTTGTGTATGTTTTGGCTTATGATACGTAAAAATATTTTTGTTAAAATTCTAAGTTGGGGAGTTTACTTTGTCCACATCTGTTAAGCGTCTTGTGTGGAGCATCGTCTTTGCCAGGTAGAATTAGTTGAATTCTGAGGACTTTGAGGGGTATAAATATGACAGCCAGAGGAAGAAGATGCAGCTGGTTAAAGAGGAAGTTAGAGGAGGACTTGCTGCTGCATTTTCTGTCTGCTGATTTGCCAGTTCCCTGGACCTCTGATTTCTGGACAATTGATATTGGTATTGCCCACAAAAGATTCGTACACTCCTACCCAGCAGACAGTAGCAGAGAGAACTCCACCCCCTGTCTCCACTACCCAGTGCTGGAAGGGAGGTGGAAGCATTTGGTAACACTAACTACAGTAGGTTTGTTAAAAAATCAAGGTCGTCCATTCTCCTGCCCCCACAACGAGAAGTAGGCCCATTGTTGCCCACCGCCTGAGATCTGAAAGCTGTGTGCCCACAAGTACTCATTTGGACTTTGTCAGTCAGAAAACAGCCTCAATGGCGTCAAAAAGGAAAGCCACTACATCTTGGTATTCTCACCCAATGTATGCAAGATACTGGCAGCATTATTATCATGCCGTGATTTGGATGCGAAGCTATCAGAAGGCCTACAAAAAGGCCATAGATTTTTATTTTAATTCTCCATGGTTTTCTCCTTATGGATTTTTTCCCTGGAGCTCTCTTACTTATGTGGCTGGGTACCCTTGGTTCTATCCAGGCCGGTACACAGCCTGGCAGTGGTCTCCCTGTAATGTTTCATATCCCAAAAGCCGTGGGCATCGTCGGCATAACAGGAACAGGACCAAGTCCCGAAGAGGGAACAAAGCGCTGTGTAAAGTGCAAGAGCTGGAGTCGGATTCAGATAATGAAGTAGAATACGACCTGAGCAATACGGTAATCACTGAAGAGCTCCGCCAATACTTTGCAGTGACCGAGAGGCACAGAGAAGAGCGGCGGAAACAGCAGCAGCGGGAAGCTGAGCGCCTGGATGACTGTGTTTATGCCGACCAGGGCCTTTACTACAACCACCACCGATCAGTGGAGCCCCCATCTGAAAGACCTGGGGAGGGAGCGGCGCCTTGCTGAGATGAAGCAGTTATATCGGAAAAGTACTTCCAAGATCATGGCCATGGAGGCTGCTGTGCAGCTGAGCTTTAACAAGTTCTGTGACAGGAAGCAGCCTAGGTACTGGCCTGTCACCCCTCTGAAGTTCTGAGTCCTAGCCACAAGGACCCTAGGGAATGTTTCCTGAACACAGTTCCTAGCCTCTTCCTCTTCGTGTCTTGTGGACATTTTTTTTTTTTTTTTTTTTTGGCAGAGGAAGAGGCCTATATATCAACATAGTGGATACAATCTTTCAGCCACTCAAAATTCTGTCAGCAGAAGGTATACTCTTACCAACATAAGGAATGTTCAGTTGACATAAAGTAATAAAAATGTTTATTGCACTGGCAAAAAAAAAAAATCAAGGTCAACAAAAAAATTATTCAATAGATGCCTCCTTATAGTCTACGGAAATTCACTAAACAAATTCATGTTCAAATGCAATGGGCATCCTAAAAAGAAGGCTTTTTTTTTTTGTTGTTGTTGTTCCCCAATTCCAGTGAGTGTGTGCAGTGTCCATCATCCCCAGCTGCTGACATACAATGCAAGTAAAATAAGTCTGTGGGTAACCAGTGTGAATTATGCAGCGGGGCACAGTGCCCTGTAGAGGTAAGAGAAGATTTTATGTGGTTGGGAAACAACAGAGCAGGTTGCAGGATTCATGATCCCACTTCTCCACTTACAAGCAAGGCTTTACCCTCTATCTGCCCTTAATGGATAATTGCAGAACTTGCTTAAAGTAGATGAACGTGCCTGGAAATGGCATGGCCCTCGTTCTTCATTAGTTTTTACAAGTTTCCCTTATGCATAACAGAACAAAACCACCCCTTGCATGCTTCAGTCACTCATTCAAACGAGTACAGATTTATTATCAAGCATATAAAACAAAATCCAGCCCCGGAGTCATTCTTGCCTCCACCTCTCAGAATATACCTGTTGCTGACTCTCCAAATGGCATGATGCTCTGGCATGATGCCTATAGTATGGGCATTAGATTTCGCCTCCCAGTTCTGTCACTTGCTACCTGAGGACCTTGGCCAAGTGTCTGACCTTTCATAAAACTCCTTCCAGATCTACAAGTATAATTGTTAAAATCACACCCATATCACAGAATTGCTGGATGATGAGCCAACACAAAAGAAAGAGGCAGCTACCTGGCACACAGCAGACCTAAAGGTTTATGTTATCTACATAAAACTCACATAGCCTAACACACATGAAAGTGTTTGACTTATTGTAAGACAGAACACAAATGCACACAAGTGTTATGTAATTTTTTTCTATATAAACAAACACACGAAAAACAATTGCAAAGATTTTATTTAGCGGCTTTCTGTGCTTGGCACTCAGAAACAGTTCCGTGCATAAGGGCAAACTTTTATACACCTTTTCTTCATACATATTTTACATACCCTTTTATTGCCCCCTTTTTAATATTCATTATATTGAATACCCCACTAGGCATATAAATACATTTATCTACACCACCTCAAAACCAAAAAAAAAAAAAAAAATCTTAATAATATCTGTATTATCTTACTTGGTATCATTTGCTTTTCCACACCATTTAAAAATTTTAGCTTGCACCAAGCTTCACTTGTTCTCTTATAAGATTTGAAAGGAAAAGGAAAGAAAAAAACAATCCCCAAACTTCAGAATGCACTGAACTAATTGATCAAAATGGAGAGGCATAGGCAGATATAAAGGGGGCAGAAGACCCATCTGCCAGTCTCTCCAGTGTGTCAGGGTTTCTCTTGCGGGGGAATCAGGGGCGAATCGTCCAGGTCGGCACTTAGGATCTGGCATCTGAGGCCAGGCCTGTCTTCCATCAGTGTTTTTGATATCACCTGGGAGATGAAACCACTGTTTCTTCTCAACACCTGTATCCCTCATCCTGCTCAGCATCATGCCGTAGAATGACACTCCCATGCGGTGCAGCTCGCCCCTGGGTCATTATGGTCAGAGCTGTGGAATCAAGACACATTCCTTGTCCTAGCCCTTGTCACTGGTACCCTTGACTATAAGCAGAGTCCCATAGAGGCTTTATTCTCCAATAACACCATCATTCTTCCTATAACACTAATGGCTAAACGAACCCAAACAATTCTCCTTGGGGAATTAAATCTCCTCATTTGTTCATATCTTCTCAGTCTTGCTGTCCACTCTCTCCTGCCCTCAATTCTCTTTCTCCCTCTCACCCTGTCCTTCCACAGGCACCATTGCAACACCAATGATGACACACTGAATGAAGAAAGCCAAATGTTTAAAACTGCAAGCTTTCTCAGGAAGCCAAGTCCGGTTGTACCATTGACGTCTTTCCACCTCTCTGAATGAGGAGAGGTTCTAGGTACGCGGTTCATTCCAGAAACATGGCAAGCTGCAAGGGAAAAATGCTACTGACTAATGATGGCCCAATCCATCTAGGATTGTACCAAGACACCATTTTGGTGAAAGCACCCATTCTGGGGCTCCCTTCACAGAGTTCACCCAGTGCAGGGTCAGTGTGTAGGATGTTGTGTTTGTATTACTTTGTGTACTCACATGTGTATGCGAATATATGCATGTAAGTTTGTATGGGGATGTGTGTTTGTGTATGTGTATCTGTGTGCATGTGTGTGTGTGTTTGTGTGTGTGTGTGTGTGTGTAACTTTTCTTGGCTGCTGAATGTTAGCATTTCCTTCAACATTATTAAAAAATGACTATTCAGTCTCTTCAAGGGCACTCTGTCATACACAATGCTTTTATAAAACTAAGATTTCAGATGTCAAAAGAATGACCACTGTATTATGGATGCTGTGCTCCAAGGATCCTTCAGTGGTATATTGCTGTTCTCTGTTTTCCTTATCCAGAAAAATACAAAAACGAAAACAAAAAACCAAAACCAAACGCATAATTCCTATTTTCCCAAGGCACGGGGCTCCCAAAGAGGAAGATCCACCCACAGAGATTCTGGAGTCTTGACTGCCATCACCTCCGTGGTGTCTGGACTGCTCTTTAAACCATGTGCACCGACATCTGGGAGGAGGAGCCTGGGACCGCCCCGTACTGTCGGCCATCGCAGGTGTTGGCAGCCTGCTGATTATTAGCCGATGGGCTGATCATGTGCATACTGTGCTCCATCCCTGTGGGCAGGTACTGCCTCTCTCCAAAGGCCCCATTGGAAGGAGAAGAACAGAGTAAAGTGCTCTGAGGTGCGCTCAGTTTTTCTGGGCTTGCAGCTAACCTGGGAGAAGTGGGGAAGTTGTACCCGTACAGATTGTAGGGGTTATGAAGGGAGAAGGCATTGTAGGAGCTCTGCTGCATGTGACTGCCACCAAACATGTGTGGTGACGAAGAGCTGGAGGCCGCATTGCCTGCCTGCATGACATACTGGAACTGTGAAGTGGGGAAGGACCCCAGCTGGCCACCGTAGGCTTCCATCTTGCTGTTGCTGGGCAACGAGGGAGGCGTTGGTATTCCTGAGATCAGTGATGGAGTCCTCTGGGGCATGAAGGTTTCGGAGGGCTGAGCGGCTGACGCTGTGCCACTCTGGAGCCTGTTGTAGCCACTGTCACTCAGCCCAGGGTAGCTCTGTAAGGCGGCCATGTTGCTTCGGGCACATGGCGGATAATCAGAGAGGTTTAGATTACACAGCTGGCTTTCTCGACAGCCCACATTGAAAGTATTGGGGGCCAAATGAAATGTTGGAGGAGAACAAGATGGAGATAAGAGATGAGAAGAAGCTGAAGGAGATGGTGTCCCGGTGCTGGAGGTGGTTGGGGAAGTACCTGTACTGCCCCCTGAAAAATAAAAACATAAATTCCATTGATTAAGATGAGTTCATCTAGGCCAAATTTTTGAAGTTCTTACAGATCAGTTCCTTCCTTTTACATCAGAAGATGATGTCACAGTTTAAGCATACATTACAAAGGATGACATGACACCAGTAGTCTTTGCATTATTTTTTTTTTCTGGAATAGGCTTAATCATAATGTTAAAAAATCAGAACAAACCGCTCTTGGTCTTATTTTTTTATAAATGCTCACCATCAAAGTCACTTCCTAATAAGACTTTTAGTGATCAGCAGTAGAAGCCACTAGCTCATTTTCTCATCTCATCGCCTGTTCAGGACAAATGTGTAATGTATATTTTATCCAGTGACTGCTTCCTGTATTGCAATCTTCAGTAGAATACCCTAAGTAGGACACTAACCTCATGGGGGTGGCTCATTGTACCAAGCCAGGACTGAGGACTGAGAAGGCATGACAAAAAGGCCTAGGTGGTAGAACCTGGGATATTACATTGGAGGTCTGTTATATCAAACACACCCGATAAGCATAATTATAAGATGTAGGCTGAAGTGAATCAAGACTAACTTGAAACAAAATGGTCCTAAGAGTCTATTGACCTTTTACAGGAGGCCTCCAAGTCTGAGAGACTGGAATAAGAATTTAACTTGGAGCACTGAAGTGTGGGTATATATAAACCCAAAATAGCCATAAACTAACCTGAGTGATAGTGGAATGGATTCTGTCCTCAGCTCCGTACACTAACCCTATAGCCCTTTTACCTCCTTTGCCCTCCAGAGCTTTCAGGTTCTTCGTCAGAGGTAAGGAATCCAGTAGGATCAATGGTCCTGAAGCTGAAAAGTCTTGCCATTTGAAAACGCTGCTATTCCAGGATTCAACCTCAAACCAACTACTAGAGAGTTTCTGGCTATGAGAATTCTGTGTCAGCATTATTCAAAGCTCCTCTAGTGGGAACCCAGGGCTGAAAACTAGTGATGAAATATGAGTTTCTATTTCACAGTACCCAGACCAGTGACTCGGAAACTTGAGGACATGTGTGTGTAAGCTGGGGGGCCTATGAAAACAAATTGCTGATTCCATCTGACTGCTGAATCTGTATATGGGGCAGAACTTGAGGGTGAACATTTGAGGCACAGAGGCTGCACTCTTCTATAGAGGACCTCCAAAATCCTACTTCCAAATGATCCTGAATCTGTGTTGCAAAGGGTTAATCATCAAACATGTAGCTGGAAGGCTGGGTGAATGGTTGGGGCTCCAATGAGCTAAGAATCAATTCCATCTTTGCTCCAAATAGTAAAACCAAAAGTGACTTTCGTATGAACTGTGGTTTTGGGGGGCAGGAAGCGTCTACTCCCTGATTCTCCCAGTGGACTTCAGAAGCAATAAGTGCTTGGTATAACTGAGCCTTCATTGAATTCTAGAATATTCAGTTGCTTTGCCCTCTCTAGAACCCATCTTGATAGAATTCCCTTCCATGCACCACTATAGCTCTTCTCCTAATGGTTGGTAATCATGGGTTTTCAGTGGAAAACACATCTTTGGTTACTGATAATTTTTGTTGAGCCTCTAAGAGACGAAGCATCATTAGGAAGTAAGGATTTTTTTTTTTCAGGTAGAAAATAACAGGGATAAGTTTTGTTTTGTTTTAATCCATGAAGAATACTGGGTGCAGTCCAGCGATATTGGGAAATTATACTGTTGTAGAAAAGGAGGAGAGGGTAGACAAAATAGAAAACCTCAGTCTAGATCCACAGGCAAAGTAGTAGTGGTGATGGTAAAAGTAAAGATTTGGCTTTGTTAATACTTTGTTCAGAGTTAATTTTTTATAGCTCAACTAATATCATTTCTAATATCATGGTAAGAGGAACTTTCCCCAATGAAAGTTCATATTCAATTGGAATTCGAGACAATCCAATCAGCTACTAATATCAGAAAATTTTCTCTTCATAACAAATTCTATAAGAGAACTAAAAAGGTTTTTGTTTGACAGTCTGAAATGGCTGACGACAAAAACCACCAGCAGCTGGTGGTGGTAAGAGGAGCTTTCTTTGTTTACAGCCACACACTGTGGAATCTACTGCTGAATTCTCTGCAGCTGTGGAAGGAAGGTCTTGGACCAATAAGCCTCAGTTTCCCTTGTTTTCATACTGGGGCTATGCCTGAGAATTAAAGGAAGTGTGAAGAATCAACTCTAAGGACTTTTCAAGGAATCATTTTAATATAATGAGGGAGTTCTGGAAGGGAAGATTCCAGAAGCAGAAGTGAACCATCTTATGCTTCCTGATGTGGCAAAGCTTCGTGGCCTCCTCTCTCTCTACATCCTACAGGAAGCTCAGAGATTTATTTTCTTCTCTTTGAAGCATCCTATGTGTTTTCTTGCTTTTCCAACCTAAATGCCATGAACTTTACTGCAGTGAGTGCTGTGCCACAAATGGAGAAACTTGACTCCAGCTGTAAAAAGATTCGTGTTTTACGAGATATGAATATAGTCTCCTGTCTTTGAAAGCTAGTCCTGCTCTCCCTTGTCTGGTGTTTATGTGGCCCTGAAGGAGACCACCTGTTCCACACACTGTCCTATCGTGTTATATAGGTAAGCTCCATCAGGCGCTGGCCTAGCCCTGCAGCCGGAAGTGCATGATGGAGCAGATGACTTTCTACATCTCTAAATGGTTTTCTCAGATGGCCCAAGATGGAACGAATGGTACTGATTTAAGGCCTCAATTGGTTTCACTAAAAAGAGAGAGAGAGAAGAAGAAGAAGAAGGGAACTGTTAACAAGTTACAGGGGGTTCTGCTGAGCAGATGAGAGGCACATGTTAAAAAGTTTGTAGTCAGCTTGCTTTGGCTTTTAAATGATATTCACTGGAAATGAGACTTGGTGGCCTGCTGAGCTTTGGGGGGTAGGAACCTCCATATGAGCTAGTGTTTGAAGGAGAGAACAAGCCCGTCCAAAGGAGGGTCACTCTGCTTCCATCCGCTTTGAAGAAATATTGTTAAGCACTTAAAGTACTCAATACAGACAGTAACTAGTTCTCAAAGTCCACATAGAGAGAGAGAGGACTGTAGAATTCATTCTGCAGAAAAGCTAACTGAGATGGCGAGAAGTCTTTATTCTCTTATGATCTAATAGCTTGTCAAATGTTAAACAAGATTGGGAGGGCCAGCCAAGTGCTAAATAAGCTTAAAGAGGCAGCCCACCCTCCCTGTGCATTTCAACACTTGACTAAGCAGACACCTCTCATGACAAAATCACCAGAGCAGTGTGGGAAGCCAGGCTGGGCTGATCAGGGCTGCCACTCAAAGTCGCTTGCCTGCCTTCCTGTCTACCACCATGTCCCTTTTGTTCACCCCCATCTCCTTTGTCCATGCAAGGTCATGTTCTCTGAGCATCTTGATTTAAATTTGCTTAATGGATAGATGACGTGGACTGTAAACCCGAACAAGCCTGGTTCCAGTCCCTGCTACCTTACAATGGGACCTTAGTAAATTAGCCTCTCTGAGCATTGGGCTCCATAGTTACGTAAGTGGGGTTTTTAATGTCTACCTTTCAGGAGATGTCATGGAAATTACAAAGTGATCATGCTTTAGCATATAGGCATAAAACATGCTCTTACCTGAGAGAAGGAGTAGAGAATGGAAAAAGAAACCTTGAAGAATATATACTCCAATGGATATGGCTCACAAGTGCTACCTCCTGTCCAGGGAGAGCAGGGCATCTTGGCCTCTATCCACATTAATGAGCTTGATGTCACAAGATGTATGTGCCATATTGTTTCAGGCCAAAAGAACCTCCAGGGTGTGGATGATGGGAGACAGAGCTAATTGGCAGCTCTGGGCCCACCTGAGCTGTGTTTGCAGAGGTACTCTAGTTCCTCTGTCCTTCCTCCCTACCCAGTGAGTCCCTAAGGAAATGAGCTGTGTTCCATGGCTTTTTTTCTTCTCAAATCAAGCAAAGCAGAAGTGATAGGAATCAAGTGAGTACACTGGAGCCTTCCCCCTTGTCCAAAGATCCTAGCCCCCTTTCGAGGGGAGATTAAAGCTTAATGCCATTAACAACTTCATAATCTCCTCTCCAGTAATCCACAATTAATCCTTACCACCCCAGCTCCCTACATCCTATTCTCGCTCAGGGACTAAAGTGAGGAGAGGCACACATGAAAATGCATATCCAACATTAACTTGTGCCAATATTCAAGGCTAAGAGCCAAAGCAACCAGGAATGCATATTTAGCAGGGATCCCATATGAGGACAATAACCTAGAATACACTTGTGTACCATGAAGACAAGTTAAATGTGTCCGTGAAAATCCTGAATACCAAACCTGCTGACTTTTGCATCTTTAAATTGATCACTTCCAGATTGTCATGCAGGGGTTTTCACAGGCAGTTTCCCTTTGAGCTTATTGCATTGTGCTACACCCACCCACACACAGACAGATACACAGACACACACACACACACACACACACACACACACACACACACACAATCATACCGAAAACCAGTAAGATAAAACCTCATCTGAATGAGTAAGGAATAAGTCTCCATGTAATTGCTTGTGCTACTAGACTCTTCTCTTTATAATTTGGTGGCTTCTGTCCCTGAACAGTGCTGATCCGCAGTGTGTTCAGACATGTAAGAGGTAAAACATCAGCAGACCATGAACATCCCAGTGAAGAAGCCCATAAGTCATAAAATTTAACAAGCGTGGCAACTGAGAAATTATCCTCCACTGCATTGAGAACCTTTCTCATGATGCCAATGTGAGAGCATCATGATCCTAATGGGAAATGTACTGTTCTCATTGTAGAAAGATGGAAACCTGGTTCATTCTTTTCCATCAAATGTAAAGCCCTGCATAGCTCCAAATTTACTCTCCTTCAAACTGCCTCATCCAATCACTGTGCGCTGTACCTGGTCCTATTTTGCTCTTAGGCATACCACACCCATTTCTTGGGCCTCCTGACTTGTTTTTGGTGCTTTTTCAGCCTT